TTTTTTTTTTTTTTTTTTTTTTTGCTACTGAGGATTGAACTCAGGACCTTGTGCTTGCAAAGCAGGTGGTGGAACCACTGAGCTAAATCCCCGGCCCAATAGTTAACTCTTAATTATCTTCAAAATGCAACTTAAATATAACCACCTTCAGGAAGCCTGCCCTAATTTATAACTCTTCTACTCCTTTGCGTAGTGAAGAATCTGACAAAAAGTCTAGGAGCCTTTATCTGTATGTGACCTTGTAGACATAGATGAAATGCAAATGAATTAGTGTCTATGGAACTTGGGACAGTATTGAACACATTACAGATGCTCTGAAGACACTGGCTAATGAATTAATGAAACACAGAGAATATGTAGGAAATAGTAGCATTTACTAAGAATTTTAGTTGCTTTCAGGGTTACTCAAATGCCTGAAGATGATTTAGTTGTCATATAACTTAAAGACCATATATATAATCCTCAAGTTACATGCATTCAGAAAATTTATGGATTGTAATCCCAGCAAATCTAGGAGGCTGATGCAAGAGGATTACAAATTTGAGCTTAGTCTAGGCAACTTAGTGTCTCAGCAAAATCCTGTCTCAAAAACAAAATAAAAAAGGGTTGGGGATGTAGCTTAGTGTGAAGGCCTTCAGTTCAATTCCCAGTACCATAAAATTGAGAGAAAGGCGAATGAAACTGAGGGCGAAGACCAATAGTTATTTGTGACAGGGATAGGTAGAGCTTAACCTGCAATTCAGGGCTCCAGCATTCTATTTTTTCTACACCACTTATTGCACCTGGTCACCAATAATTAGAGTGTAATTTTTTGTTTTTGTGGCCAAAATCCTCTTTTTATATTCTTCTGCGACCCTTACACACTCAAAGAATAGTTACCATATATGTATTGGTCACAGGGATCTCCAGAGAAATAGAACCAATAGACTATATAGAGATAAATATGAGATTTATTATTGAAATTGGCTCACATAGGGAAGCCAATATGTCCCATCATCTGCTGTCTTCAAGGTGGAGAAACGAGAGTTAGTGGCATAATTCAGTCTGAGTCTGAAAGCCCAAGAGTTGGGTTGCTGACGGCGTCCAAAAGTTTGAGAACCAGAAGTACCAATGTCTTGACAGCAGGAGAAGACAGCTATCTCACCTCGGGCAGAGAGCAAATTCACTCTTCTTCCATATTTTTGTTCCCTTCAGACACTCGATGAATTGGATGAAGCCTACTCACATTGAGAAAGGACATCAGTTTTACCCAGCTCTCCCATTCAAATGAGGGTATTTCTTTTCCGTGGTATTTTGATCCCTTAGCTCCCATGGAGGCAAACCTATGGCACATGTGTAGCTTTTAAGACAAAAGATGTTAATGTATGAGTTGTTTTTTCTAAACTAAAACCTCAGTATTTAGGTTTAATTGCAGTTTTGGTACTTTGTGATAAGTGGGTTTTGGGTTACAGTTTGGGCACTCATCTCTAAAAGGTTTACCATCACTATGCCTAATCAAGCTTACACATAAAATTAACCATTACATGTAGGTTATTTGATTGAGGTAGTCTCAGGGAATTACAATCAATTAAAGATCGAAGAAATTTTACACCACAATACAATGTGAAAACAGAAAGAAAAAAAAACCCACAGAAAATAGTTGTGTTCCTTTGCATTTGGAAAACATTTTAAATCATGAATATTTCAAATGTCAATTTTCATTGAATTCAGTCATTCAACTTGGCTGAGTACTCAGTATTTCCCTGGCACCATCCTAGGAAAACACAAATGTTCCAGCTTTCTAGGTTATCTGAGAAGAGACAGACTATATACATAATTGTTTAACACGGTTGGGAATAATTGGCAGAAAGATAAATACCATATGAGTTAAAATATATTATAGACTACTCTTTTCCCACTTTAAAAGCTACAACAAGTAATCTTAACCATACCAAATACTGTAAAAGATGTAGAGCAACTAGAACTCTCAAGCACTGCTGATAGAAATTAGTATGGCCAGGCACTTTGGTAAACAGTTCGACAGTTTCTTCTAAAGTTAAACTCTTAAGACCTCACAATTCTAGTGTGGTATTCGCCCAAGAGAAATGAAAACATGTCAACACAAGCCGTATGTACACTGACCACTATAGCAACTTTATTTATAATTATCAACAAGTAGAAACAAAATTCCAATCACTAGGTAAATTAACAAATCAGTGTACCAGAATACTGTTCAGCAATAAAGGGATTTTTAAGACACTCATAGCAATGAATGAAATCGCAAAACATTTTGCTAAAAGAGGCCAGACTCAGAAATAGACCATATGATGTTATTGGCTTAGGAACAGGGAAAAACCGCGTTACCCTGTTAGAAATCAAATTAGAATTGTCCAGAGGGGAGGAGGTTATTGAGTAGAAAGTGTCTGGGAATTTTTTGGGTTAATGGAAAAGTGTTACACCTCCATTGTGGTGGTGGTTTTTCCAATGAGTGCTGGTAAAAAAAAAATCATGAAATTTACACTTAAAACGCGTATAAATTAAAAATCATAAAAGTATTACCTAGTGACTGGTGATGTCAGGACACAAGGATCTTATTTAGGTGTGTGTTGGGGATAAAGCCAGCATGCTAAGCAAATGCTCTACCTCTAAGCTACTTCCTTAGCTCTTCGTGATGAGGAAGTAAGTAAATGTACTGATTTTAGAAAAAAAAAATGGCGCGGATGCTAAGTACTAGAAACTTTCACAAGTACTGTATTGATTTAAGTGAAGGAAAACTTAGAAACATTATTCATTTTACAAAGCGAGGGCAGGGTACCGCGAACGCAGCTGGCCAAGAACTGATTGTCTCTCACGACTGCCAACCCTAGCCTGACCGCACACCGGCGCTCGAGAGGTCCCCAGACCCTAGCACCCGCCGCGGTCAACAGGGCCACCCCCGCCGCGAAGCCGGAGCTCTGGCGGGCC